AGCTGAGTAAATCATGACAGCCAAAGCCTCAAGAAACTAGTAAAAAATGTAATTGGCCAAATCCCTATGGATCTCCAAAGGATTGTAGCCAGCAGGTTGATGGAAAAAGGTACAGCTGAACTCAATGAGATTCAAAAAGGCATCATGGGGCATCTAAACTGCTTTTGATGTAGAAACCTACTGTAGTTAGAGGAGATAGAATTCCTGATATCATTCCAGAAGTGCCTTGGAACCAATAGAATTTTTCAGTGTGTTGATAGCCCAGAATGCAATGTGGTAGCATTGGGAAACAATAGACAAAACTTACTGATCATTAGTTATCTAGGCCTATGAAGATGGTTTTTGAAAGGAGAATGCCATAGTAGAGCCTTGCACCTAGAGTCTTTTGCTTTGTTGCATGAATGAGAAGACAGTGCTTTTAATAATCCCTGGAAGCAGGAAGATACAAATGATCTGTCTTAAAAGCTAGCAGTCTTGGTTCAAAGTATAAGCAGAACTATGGATAACAAAAGGCAAAATAGGCTTGTTGCAAAGCCTACTTCTATATTGCAGTGTATATGCCACCTATGGGCATTGTCATATAGAACAAACCATTCTAATTGAAAAGGAATTAGATCAGCCTGATCGAGAAGTAGAAGACTAGTGAGAATATGTTGCCTGGTCGTCACTTTGGACATCAGATGGCAAAATGAAGCCAATAGAGGGAGAGACATAATTGTCACCTTTTAGTCAGTATACACATCATAAAAGATAAATGGAGCAAATCCCTGCAGCTGGAGGCAACTTAAGTATTTGGGGGTTTGGAAACATCCAAGGTAGAGGTCTGAGCCTTAACCGTGAAAATGGCAATCTTTGAACAAGGAGCCATTTAGGACTGGAATTCAGAAATGGCAAGACTTTGTTTAAAAATGTCCTTAACATAAGAAGTATCTTGGAAGAATCCGGATGCCCTGTTTTATATTTGCTAGTTAGAGGAGCTCCAATTGGTGATAGCTATAATGTTTAGATGGAGGAAAGTGAGAAGAGTATGGAGTATTTTGAATTGTCCTAGGAGTTATAGGCCAGCTGATTGGCATAATGGCAAATTTGCTAAATGGAGATTTAATGGTCAATCAGTAAAATGTAGTGTGAAGATGCAGATTTTTATAACAATTGGGGAGTAGGATTTCCCAAAGGCAGAACAGTTGCAAGATATCTGACTTCAAGCTCAATGATTTTGAAAGAGAAGAGTATGAGGACCTTAGTCTCTAGATATACTCTGCACATGCTCCAGTTTGCTAATGTCTTTTGTAAAATTGTCTCAATACTTGATGTGGGCTGATCAATGCTGAATAGAGAGAAATGGAGTTTGCTACCACAGTGATGGCAGTTGCAGAATTATGCCTTCAAGGCCATTAGGATCAAAAAAAAGTCCTGAAGAAAAGCCACATTACATTAAAATAAAATGGAAAAAACGAAAGATAACATAGATGACACTTTGAAAAAAGTTCAGTAATGAGTTTCAAGAACAAATGTACTATTGCTGTTATGGCTGAAAACAAAATGAGGGGATCAGCATGTTCTGTGCCAGTTATAAAAGTTAAATAGAGAGAATAAAACCCCAGCCAAGAAATCTGAAAGCTTAAGAACATTTGCTTGCCGGATTTGTTTTTACTTGATGTCTTTCCTTTCCTTTCCTTTCCTTTCCTCTCCTCTCCTCTCCTCTCCTCTCCTCTCCTCTCCTCTCCTCTCCCCTTCTCTCCTCTCCTCTCCCCTCCTCTGCTTTGCCTTACCTTGCCTTGTTCTCATCCCTTCCCTTCTTTCCTTACCCAACTCAAACAGTATGCCTCTCGGTTGCATAATGCATAACAACAAACAGGAGGAAGAGGAGGCCATATAACAATAAGCAAATAACAAAATGTAAAATGGTGACCAGCACACAATAAACAACCATAGGGAGAGTCCTGCTCAACTAACTCCTAAAGCTTGAGGAATGAACCAGTTATAATAGCTTTTGTAATGGTAAGATGAGTTGTACTGTGTTTCCTTGAAAATAAAACCCAATTGGAAAATAAGCCCTAGCGTGATTTTTCAGAACACTCGTAATGAAAGCGCCACCCCAAAAATAAAGCCCCAGTTAAGATTGGGAGCCAGTGCAGCTTGCAATATAGCAGTATTATATGAGCCTAAGAGTCAGAGTTGCCTGAACCATGAGATGGGGTAGCAAATAAATTTGATAGATAGATAGATAGATAGATAGATAGATAGATAGATAGATAGATAGATAGATAGATAGATAGATAGATAGATAGATAGATAGATACATACATACATACATACATACATACATACATACATACATACATACATACATAAATATAACAACATTTGCCCACAATTACCCACACTGCAGCATTCTGGACCAATTGAAGCCTCAACAGTTTTCTAGGTAAAGCACTCTGCAAGAGTCCAATTGGGAATTGATCATGGCATGAATAACCATGAACAAAAGCAGAACTGCTAAGGTTCTGAACTGAGGATTGTTGCATGGATCTACAAGTAAATATTGATGTCATAACTGGCAAGGACAGATGTAGCAGGAACAAAAGTTTGGCCATTTCAGAGACAGGAGAGTGATCCTTTCCAATCATGAAGGAGGACCCTTCAACCTAAAGATCCTATATTTTAATGCTAGTGTACTTGCTGGTAATATTTATTCATCCTGAATGAAGACCCAGATATGTAAATGGATTAGGAATGGCTTGCTTGGAGATGAGAAACTGATTCCTCCCAGCTCTGTGTGCAATGGATTACTCTGCAATGCATCAGGCTAAGGCTGGAGAATATGGATCTGGTGTGGCCATCTGTATCTATAAACTTCATCAGGCAGTCCATCAGTGTGGAATGTTTGTTGCTGTGTCTGGATTGTCAGGACAGAATGGGAGGCTGTTGGTATGCTATCTACATTGCTGCACAACAGCTACTCTTCCTGAGCTAGACAGAGTGAATTGTGGCATGGCAGTGGACTACCCTATAGGTCTATCAAACTGAAGTTCCCCAGGTAGGAGATGGATCAGGATTTCTTATCTCTCATGAGGACCTTGGACTATTCCCAATGGTTTCTGGTCTGGACATACATTTGGTATTTTGTTTAGCTGGAGCCAGTTATCTGAAAGTGGAGGAACTATGCTGTCCTGGATAACTTATTTGTTATTCAGTTTTAGGCTGGCCTTTGCTATCATCCACTATAGCTGTGTTTCTCAACTTCTGCAAGTTTAAGACAGGTGAACTTCAGCTCCCAGAATTCCCCAGTCAGCATGTTGATTCTGAAATTGTGGCACCCATCTTAACCTTACTGAGGTTGAGAAACATTGCTGTATAAAGTTGGAGGGTCAGTTAAAGTGGTCTGACAGGCACTTTGATAGATCCAGTTAATTTCTTCAATATTCTTGGGAATTTACCTCTTTCTCAGACATACTGTTGAACCTCTGACAATCTGTGGCATTAGAAGATGTCCAGGTAACTGTTACTATTACTAAATCTATCAGACCTAAATCATTATCTTGATTTAGCAGGAAGCTGAAACCAATGAAGCAATAATTAGTGGAGTTCTCAGAAGATTGAACTTTTAAAGAACTAAGTATTCACATTCAGTCATTACTTCATACAATATATGTACTCCACAAATCATTAAGATATAAAGAACAGCGTGCATTTAATTTGATAGTAAGAGAACTTTATCAAATTAATATAAGACTTTTATACTAAGCAAAATGGCTTTCTATAAGGAGTTTTAAAGTGGTGAGATTATTTGAGTACTAAACTTTATGAACATCATTGGAATTCTTGTTACATTCAATTTCTTTTAAACCTTTTTAGTAAGCCATAAAGAAATAAAAAAAAATCAGCAGTGGTATTACACTTTATTAATGTTACATTGTATACATTATGACTGTGCTAGATTCAGTTCAATTGAATCAAGTCACAGGCTTACCTAGCATATAAAAATAAAAAAGGTACAATAAAATACCATAAAGCAGGATAAGAAACTGAATTAATGGAAAGAGTAAAATACAACAAAATGAGATAATAACAATACAGCCTTCTAATGCTCTGCACCATATAAACAATACTCAATTCCAAATTAATTTGCCATTAGCAGAGCATGAATTCTGCAGGCTAGAAATATAATAGATTGTGTTATCTGGGGTGTAAATGAATTGGTACATATTATCAACTTTAGTGGTAATGCCCAATTAATTAGTGCTTTGGTCAGAGGTTTTTTTTAAAAAAACCAAGAAAATTACTTAAAGCCTTTAATAGTGAATTAAGGTTGTTTTACAATACAACAAAATGAATTGATTCAATTTTTATGGTTATCCATTGACTATTGCAATATATTGGAAAAGTAAAATATCTTTCATTTTATCAATACTGTTTTAAAATGTAGATTGTATTTCTGTAAAATTACTACTATAGAAAAGCTCCAAAAATTATTTTAAAAACAGGAAAAATTAAATAAATCAAATTTATTTACTATTTGCAGGTTATATTAATAATTGTTCTCCTAATATATCATTCTTGTCAGAAATATTGAAAATGGATGTTCTTTTTTTGATTTTTTTTCTCTCCTCAAGATTGTGTGCTTGTGTGTGTGTGTGCCATATTTTTGTGTATATTCTTCTGAATTTGGCAAATTCCCAGTTAATGATTTTCAGCTATGCTTCTTGTATTTATAAATTGATTTTCTTTGGGGGAATTCTTATTGATGCTTCTTTGTTTTATTTTTTTTCCTCTGTTTTTTTTTGTTTTGCAAATAATTATATACGCATTGCAATTAATAATGCTACAATGCACATAAAACAAGAATGGGGAGTTAAGAGGTCAACAGACATAAAGTGTAAGTTCAATAGTCTAAAGCTAATACATTAAGCAATTGCTTGAATAGTTTCCATGCAACAACCCCTAAGCATTCGTCCGTCTTGCTGACAGTGCAGTTTGGGCTACCATCACAAAGAACTTTATCTGAAGCCCAGCAATCGGACACCTTGTTTCACTTTGCGGGCTTGCCAGCGGAGAAGCTGGATGGCCCTTAGGCTAATGCGCAAAAGCTTGTCATATCTGAAGATCAGTTTATAGAACGAATTGGTCATCAGGGCCCCAGTGGGATCAGCTTGCTTGAGAGCCATCATAGGGGTATACATGGCATTAGTCTGGTGACGGAAGGGTGGTCTGGCTGTACTAATGACCTTTAGGACATGCTGCCAAGGGAATCAGAAGACATTCATGTGAGTATTATTTTAAAAGTCAACTTTAGGAAGCAAAAGGATGATTTTTTTCAACAAAAACAAATGAGGTTCTATGATGTAAATCAGGGGTCTTCAAACTTGGCCGCTTTAAGACTTGTGGACTTCAATTCCCAGAATTCGTCAGCCAACCATGCTGGCTGAGGAATTCTGGGAGTTGAAGTCCACATGTCTTAAAGCGGCCAAGTTTGAAGACCCCTGATGTAAATAAACAAGAGTCCTAAGGATATCAAGTGTCAGAGAAAAGCATATCACATTTATCAATACTGTGTGAGTGCATAAAAAAAATTACATGTATACAACCTCCTTTCACATACATGCTTACAGATACTATAAACAGACAGGAGACAGGACACAGGGAGTATAGTTAGTATGGTAAGATCACAGGAAATCTCTGAATCTTTTGATTCTACAGTATCAAATCCCACATTAGAGGATATTATCACCTCAGCTACATCTTCAGGTGTTTGACTCAGGCTGGAGAAGATGGCTCTGGAATTTTTCATGTAAATCTGAGAAAATATCTCAGCAGTCTCATGATCTGTCTGGGAATAGTCAGCTTTTTCTGCATCTTCATAGATTTTCATCTCAAACTCAGTTACCACTGGACCAGGTTCTATCAAGCTGACACTACAAATAAAGCATGAAAAATCATAACAAAAATGGATTTTTAGAAGGTACTACCAGCAGTCCTAATCTGGAGGACATTGGCTACAAAATTTCAGTTTCCTTCAGTTTTTAATTTTTGTAAACTAGTCGTGTTCATTGTAAACTAGTCGTGTTCATCTTCAAAATCATTGAGTGAGCTGCAAAAATCTATTCAATCGTACAGATCTAATGTTTATACTGGTCGGAATTCATACTGGAAACTGGAACCAATCAGGTAAGCTTCCCAAGAAAAGAGTGAAAGTTGTTTGTATTGAGTTATTAAGAAAATATTGGGTTACCTTCTTCAAGTCTCAAGAAATGCTGAACTTACAACTCACAGAATTCCAAAGTACTATTTTATTGGGTCAATAATTTGGAGGACACCAGGACAAGGAAACCTGTTTTAGACTAGTAATGTCCCTCTGGAAACAGCTTTTAATCAAAATGTTTATAGATGCTAAAGCAGTTTTCTTCTACTTAACAACACTCTGAATTTGGATTGGGTTACAACTGACCTTTAGGGGAACAGATTCCAAAAGTCCACACAGGTAATCCTCGACTTATGACACAATTGCCACAGTTGTTAAATGAATCGCTGCAGTTGTTAAGTTAGTAACACTGTTGTGACTTTTGGGTTTGCACATTAGTGCAGCAGCTGAGGGATGGCAGGGCTCCACACCCTACGGCTGATTTCTGCCTGCCAGGGGACCTTAAATAGGCCTGAAGTTGCCCTGTAGAGGCAACATAGAAGGGGGGAAGTCCTGCCAATTGCAGAGAAATGGCAGTCAATCCAATTGGTTTGGGAAAAGCCCTCCAGAAACTGGCAGGAGAAGAGGCTAGCTGTTTTGGATCATGGAGATCTGCATGTTAGAATGTTTGGCATTTATTGGGTTAAGTGCTGTCTCCTTAAGAGATGGCTTATGGGTAATGTAGTTTTAACTAGTCAGCTATATCATGTTAGTAGGTCAGTGGGAGTAGTTTCTAAAGTTCATTGCAGGATATACTGGCTACGTGCCAGTTTGGAACATTCCTTGTCTGATATAAGCATGGGGCCATGGCAGGACTCAGATGGTCCCATTTTCATGCTAGAAGTTGGTATGGAGGAAGCCTTAATTTCTTACCTATAAGGATGAACAGATGTATATTATCCAGGAGCAACAACCACAATTGCAGGTATTTCCTTCTGAATAAAGTGTATCTGTTTTATAATCATTCTTATTGAGTTTATCTGTCTGATCTGGATTTACAAAAGCAACTTAACTCTTGGTCAGAACAGTAACTTCCGAGTCTAGCCCAAGCTACAAGCAACTGAAGTCCAAAAGTACTACTTCAAGCTGATTGTAAACAACATGTTTGGAACTGGGTAAGATCTGTGATTTTCTTTCTTCTACTTAGAAATTGATTTCCTGGAAAAAGAAAAACCTCAAGAAGCAAAAAGCCTCCAAAAGTGAGAAGGAGGGGGACTTTTGCCCCACCCTCCTGCACATGGAAGTGGTGAATTAAACCTTTCAGGGGGAACAGAAATATATTGAAATAAAAAGAATATAAGATTTAATTTGGATAAGTTTAAAATCGGTGGAATCTGTTAAGATTTTTCTTTTATATCATGAAAATAGAAGTAAATAATTGTCTACTACTGAAAAGAACTGAAAGAACTGGTGCTGACATCTAGTGGTGGATGAAAATATACAACAGCTGCTCTATTACGGGGACTGGCAAGGCCTAGGAAAAGATAAATTTTATTCTGGTGACCTTCAATGTCTTAATAACAGAGAACAGCTGTGACAAAAAGAAAAAAGAAAACATCTTGGGTTTTCTACAAAGTGAGAATTATAAATTCTAAAATAAAGAAAAAAAGAATTAACCTTCTGAATTACAAATACTAACTCAACTGTGACTCATAAGCTTTCTGCAGAGTAAGAAAAACCCTGATTTTTGGCTATCATGGAAAATCAGAGATCTGCAGAAAGAATATACCAAGAAAAAACAAATATTTTCCAGAAGGAGATCTATGCTATGTTGCAGCTAACCCAAACAACAATAATTTCAAACCACGAGGAAATTAAACATAACCTTGAAAATATAAATGAACACATCTCCAATTTAACTTTACAACATAAAAATTCTCAGAAAATAAAAATAGAGAGTGAGCCGAAAAAACAGACAGCTGAATATGAGACAGAGGAGAGAGATTTTAAGATGAAATTTAACGATACAAGGAAGTATGACTTAACCCAGATGGAAAAAAATTACAGGAAATTCTGGATATAGAAAAGACAAACTACACTTTAAGATAACAAAATAAGTTTGAGGATAAGAAAAAAGATTTGGCAAAATGGACTTTGCCAGAAGAATTACTAGAATTTGAGAGACAAAAAATAATAAATAAAATCAAGAAAGGAAAAAAGGAAACGATTTTCACTGAATACAAAGGGGTGAAACCTTCCTATAAAAACATTTTATCTGTTTTGCCTTTTGTACTGGCAACAACATTTATAAGATTATGGGAAGATTATGTGATTCATCGAAGTATATTGAACAGGGAAGATGTTGGGCAAAAAAAAAAAAAGGCTGAAGTGAGAATTAAGAAATTAGATAATGGGAATTACCAAGGGAGTATTTAAAAATTAAGCATGTGTTTGAATATGGTTAAAGAAATAGAAAGATTTTGAATATAAATGAAGATTAGTTCAAGAGGCACGAACCCCTCAAGTAATATAGTATGCCTTCTTTCTTTTTTTATTTTGTGTTTGGTTTTTTGACATGAGAAGTATAAAAATGTTGGAATGGTTTATATAAAAGAAATGTTTTCTCTGTTTTGTCTTTTTTCTTTTCTCTTATTTTTCTTTAAGACATGAGAAATGTAAAAATGTGATGGCTTGTATGAGGAAAAAAAGACTTAAATATTTAAGTGTAACTAATTTTGAAAAAATCTTAACCAGTAAGAATGGTTTGAATATTGTGGGGAAAACAAATTTAAATAAGAATGTAAACAGGATTTATGATGAGGCAATCAAGATGATCAATGAAAAGAAGCTTTATATTAATGTGGTTAGTATTTGCAGAAACATGAGAAAAATGTTTATATTCAATTGTCATTTATTTAAACAAGAACTGTATTAACTTAAGGTTGGCAAAAGAGAATATTGGAAGAAAAGGAAATCAAGTAAAGCTACTATATGGGCTACAGAATTATAGAAATTAATTGTTATTGATTGTTTTTTAAACACTAACCCAGACAACACGATGTTTACCAAATATTAAGGTGTATGTTAAAAATTAATAAAACATGTTGAAAAACAAAAGTTAGTAACATGGTTGTTAAGTGAACCTAGTTCCCCCACTGACTTAGCTTGTCAGAAGGTTGCAAAAAGTGATCATATGACCTAGCACACTGCAACCATCATATATACATGCCAGTTGCTAAGCATTCAAATTTTGATCATGTGGCCATGAGGATGCTGCAATGATCATGTGAAAAAGGTCATAAGTCACTTTTTTCTTTGCCATTGTAACTTCAAATGGTCATTAAACAAACTCTTGTAAGTCAAGGACTATCTGTATAGAGGATAACCCTGAACTATTCATAGTGATCAGCAGCTATGTGATATTTAGTTAACGGAACAAATTTTTTTCACATATTGCCACTTTTTTCTGCTAAAGGTCAAAAGCTAAGCCTTCTGCTAGATTATTCCAATGAGTGCAGATGTTTTTCCTGAAATTTTGTTTGCATTCCATTCATTAAAACCTTATAGAAATAAAGACATGGCAAATCTGACTATATTCTAATGGGAGGGGAGTTTATTAGCATCACCACTACTACCCACTTACAAGATATTAAATCTGAGTGCTTGGATAATAAGGCTTTCACAGAAACCTTCAATGGCAAATTTGGATGCAGCATAGATGTCATTGAAAATGATGCCTAGAAGACAAAACATAATAGATTATGGTTAAGCAGTCATGACCTTATCTCTATAGTTTGTTAATCAGAAATGAGGAATTTAGCTTGGGATGATAAGATCCAATTGGCTGTTTCCCCTTTTTAGTGCAGTCTATAAAGGCCCAAATAGTTTCACTTCTTCTATAGTTCTCCCTTGTACTGCTGGCTTTTCTTTACACAACTGTGTGATCGAATTCAAGACAAGCCCAAACCATGTTGGCCGAGTTTTCCTCACATTTTTAGAAAGGACCATTTCCTGGCCTAGGCCTTTTGGAAGAGGGGGGTTGTTGAAGGGATTTTACAAGAGAAATTGATGTGAATGGCTTCCCACAGCTTTTCTTTTCCCAAAGTTTAGAAAATAAAAAACATTGGGTCACCTTACCTCTGAAGAGCCAACCACAGTTGCCAGCAAAATATCAAGAAATTTGTGGTCTAGACCACAGACACTAAACCCTGAAGCTCAACACTTCCCATAGATAACTGGTTGTGAAAGCCTACACTAACTGGAAACATTGCTTCTATCTTTCCCCTGATGTTACTTATGGTTCTTCAATGGGAAGATAGAATGAACTACAATCCCTAACCCAGGAAAAAATAATCAGTTCGTAGGATAATAGATTATATTGGCTGTCAACAAGACAAGATAATGACTAAGTTCCTATAACATGCTGAAACCAGAAACTACCAAATGCTAATCTGATGTGTTGTGAGAATCCAACCTGTCCCTGGTACTGGAATTGGTTTTATTTTTATTATTAATTTTAGAACCGTGATCAAGCAGCAAATTCTTGTTCATTTGGATTCCTGAGTTTTATGCATTTTAGGAACCAAAGGAACATTTGGAGAGACTAAATATAAAATTGAAAGCAAAATGTGCCTACTGCTTTTATAAAGGTTTTTGGTATCTCCAATTTGGATATATTTATTATTTTTAGATAGCTTAAACATTGCTACTTGCTGTATTATTTATATACAATAATATACCAATCAAAATATCTGCAAGATTTGTCTCAAACTAGCATTATGGAAACAACTGGATCTATACAGAAAGGATTATATGTATAGAGTATTTCTTTTGTAAATGTACATATGTTGGTACATGAATGATCTATGATATCTCTACCTCATTCATGATTTAAAATGGTTATGATGGTTATTTTATTCAACCGCATTATTTTCAAATCATGGATCCTCCAGATATCTTAGGGAAAACTTCCCACAGTTTATTTGCTCATGCTATCTGGAAATTGATTGTGATCTAATATACCTGTTGAGCAAGAAATATTGTCCTAAAAGATATACATTTGAAAGGGATGCCTTATCTGCTGCTTCTGAATTGACTATTGTACAGACAATGTAGATAAACTAAAGTCAGCTTACCTTGCAAACCCAGGACACTACTGATGACCACAATGTGTCCACTCCTCCTTTTCTTCATGTCTGGCAAGACCTCTTTAATCATCCTTACTACACCAAAGAAGTTGGTTTCCATTATAGCCTTCATCTCGTCAATTGATTGACACTCAATAGGACCAATAAAGCCCAGCCCAGCATTGTTGACTATAAGAAGTAATTAAGAATTTTAACTGTTTTACCCACTTACCCACTCAATAAGACAAAGCATCAAATGGAATCAGTCAACTGAAAATGACATTATTGGACCTTGAAAGTTTGCCATTTGGATATCCAAAGATTTAAGTAAAAAAAATATAACCTACCATTAACTTTTCCAGATAATCAGATATTTAGAGACCTGAGGATTAATAATATAAAGAAGACTGCCACACCACATGATTATTGTGTTGATGATCATCACCAAAGAAAATCCAAGACCTCTTGCTGCTTGAAGCGAAGATTAACCAAATATTCACCAATACACTCAAAATAAAGTGTCTGAATACCTGGCAACTGAATTGTTATTCAAGAGTAGTAAAAGACTGGATTATATGTGAAAGCAGACTTTATGTGCATGGCTTATGTGCATGGTGGGAAAGAATGAAAACAAGTTGTTGTTGTTGTTGTTGTTATTATTATTATTACATGCCCTTGTCTTCAATGGCCATTTTGGTTTGGGCAATAGGAGAAACTGGATAACTGGCTTTCATGGAGGTATCTGCTTAACTGAGTCAGGTCCATGCAGACACACACACACACACACACAAACACACACACAAACACACAGGTTCACAGGGGTTTGTTGTATGTCCCCCAGAAGGCTGATAAAGCTGCAATTCTCTGGGTACTCACTGAGGATATCAATATGTCTCTGAGGAATGCTGTTAATACAGTTGTGGATGGATTTCTCATCGCAGACATCCAGCTGTTTGATCTCTAGAGTTTGGTTGAGTGCTGGCCCTGCGGCTGCTTCCAGCTTTTCTTTCTTGGTGACGTTCCTCATTGTGGCAATCACTAGAATAAGGGTGAGGCTTGGTCATATATTCCTTTCAACTTGGCTGGCCAAATTTGGGAATGGTTTCTTTCCTGTTTTATTTCAAATGGCCAAATGCTTAAAATTTTCTCAAAGTATGAACCCAATATAAATAAGATTGTCAATTGTATAAATATATGCATATTAGGTAAACATGAACTTACATAATACATTAGCAATTTTACCAACTGGTCTCGTAATGTTGCTTTTGTCAAGTTCTTCTCATATTTTTTCTCAACCTGGTATTTTCAGGTGTGCATTACAATAGATATTTACTTCATTTTTATGAACTGTAATGTATTTCCAGAATATTCAGTAATTATTCCCTGGTACCAGAGCTTTTGGAAGCACAAATGTGTTCTCAGGGCATGTCCTCACAAAACTGAAGCAGACTCTCACTTCACACTGAATCTATTTTCTTTCAACAGGTGGTTGAAGGAAGGGTCTATAGCAAAGTTGGCATTTGCTAAACATTGGAAGTTACAGCATGGAATATAGTTTATTATCTCTTTGAAAATGCTATACAAGACTCATCCTTTGCAATATGATTGTTAGCCTTGGGTGTAAGTCCACTAACATTTGTCTTGAGCAAAGGGAAGAAAAGTCTCTCCATGATCAGGATCAAGATGGTACAGGACTATAGGTCCAGCTAGTGTATATAACAATCTCATGGTTCTTAAAATATAACTTTTCTTAATGTAGTAGTGTGCAGATGTGTTCCCCACAAGGTGCTGGTTGATAAATCAGGAGACTCTGAGTTCTAGTCCCATTTTAGGCATGAAAGCCAGCTGGGTGACTTTGGGGTATTCACTCTGAAAGTCTAACCCAGTGGTGGCGAACCTATGGCACGGGTGCCAGAGGCGGCACTCGGAGCCCTCTCTGTGGGCACACGCACTGTCTTCCCAGCCCCGCCTCCTCCCACGGCCCCCTCCTCACCAGCAGCCCCCCCGGAGGAGAGTGACCCCTGGGCCCGGCCCACGCGAAGCAGTGCAGCCAAGGACATGGTAGCCGGGCAGTGGGGACAAGACTCTGCTCTTGTGCCCCGTTGTGCGCAGATGCTGCTGCGGGGCATGGACGGAGGGCGTGGCTGCCATGGCGCTGCTGGGCTGCCTGGGTGATCTGTGGTGGGCCGTGGAGGTGGTGGGTGGCCCAATGGGCAGGGTGGAGCAGGGATGGGGGTGGGGCGGTGGTTTTGGGGCACTCGGTCTCTAAAAGGTTTGCCATCACTGGTCTAACCCACTTCACAGAGTTGCAGTTGTGGGGAAAATGGAGGAAGGAGTATTGTTTATGATCACATACCTGAATTACTTATAAAGTAATAAAGGTGAGATAAAAATTTAATAAATAAAAACCTGCCTTGGAGTATACTAAAATTCATTTGTAAAAACAAGTTGTTGGTTGCTTTATATCAATCTACTAAAGGTCCAAAAGTAAAGACTTGGATGTTTTATTTTCACCAGTTGATGACCCTAAACACAGGCAAATAATCTATTCCAAAAATATCAAAGTATCATTTTATGATCCAAGATGTCAGTGTTTTGAAGACCATGCAGTGGACATCTGGATTTAAAACTGGAACAGTAGAAGAAAAGGTTAGCATAAATCAATAGCTTTTGATCATGCAGGAATTCTGAAGCAAAATAAATTGGAGCAAATACTGTAAATTCTCAAGCTTGCACACTAGAGATCCATAGACCCCACTTTTGACATAAATTATTTTGATCCTCAAGAGGACAAGTCTACAAACTATAGTTTTTGTATATCTCAAAAACATTTGTAAGCTAAAATAAGCTGGCAAATTATGCAAACAATTAAATAGAACTACAGAATGCCCATGCAGTCACAAGATGAAAAAATTATTCGTTATACCAACAGTTGTTAAGAAAGTTAAAACTAGCAAAAGGGGGAATTCAAAATTTGCAATAGATAGATAAGCAAAGGTTCCAAGAGATCATCATTTCTAAAATTGGTACTACGGTATGTTATATTAAAATTCTTCAAGAGATGACTAAGCTTTTGCTGTAAAACACTAGTAGTATAAATATATTTTTAAAATTTAATCCTTTTTGCAATGAAATATAATGGGCAAACCAGGAAAGAGCTGTAACTATGGTTAATCTCATCCCAATATTAATATTTTCACCATTTTGTCCTTTAAAACTGTTATCTGAAATGGTGCTTCAGTGCAGCTTATGGCCTGTTAGCGAATATGCATATAATTACTAGGGAGGAAGTCTGAACTCTGAAAGTATTCAACATTTACCACGAATCGGCTTTTCCAATACAACAGATCATGCTTGTCCTGAACAAATATATAACACTGTATAGAGATGGACCAGGCAACTGAAACTTTTTTTGAAAGTGAGGTTGATACTCACTGCTGTGCACTTTTTAACATATTCATATAAAATTTGAATTCCCATTTAGCAATATATTGTATAATTCATCAAAACCTATTTGACAGAGAAATTGTATTTGCTTTAAGTGCCAAATAAATACTTAAACCTATTTATATATGTTCAAATTTTAACCTGGTTACTGAATTTATTCTTGTATTAATTAGATTTATATCCTGCTTTTATCTTGTACAATTCAAGGTTAGGTAGTATTCTGGATTAGTATAATACACAGAACTCCTAACAACCAAACATATTTATCATAACTAAGCTAGTATCATTAACTGTACATAAGATTTTGTGCGAAAACTTTTGTTAAATCTGTAACTGGCCTGCTTAACCATGTTTTGTAAATAGTTACTAACTTATTATCTATATAATCATTATATATAACAAGGCTACCTAACATTTGGGGATAATAGACAATGTTGGAATAAAGAGAGTTTATTTTAAACTTGCTTGCAAAATGATTGTTGAAAAAGCTGTAACCAGTCATATAACACTCATATTTTGGAAGGCAGATGAAATTCTCAGCTACAAACTACTCTTCATTTTGTTTTCTAAGAATACTTTAGATATTTTAAGGATGTGAGAGGCATTGTTGGAAATAGTTAACTTTCGCTGATATTTCCTTTGTGTTTATTTCCTTTGTGTTGCATGATAACATACCAGCTTTTTATTTAATTGCAGAATTGAAATATATACATATATTTATATATATTCATTATTTATGAACTTAGTCACAGTTTGCATATACACCATTTACACACATCACACAAAATCCACAATTTTGAAAACTCACCTTTGAACCTCCTCTGCTTATCTTTTGCTAGTTTAGCAGCCAAAGCCAGCCCAATGCCAGATGAACAACCTGTTATCAGTACAGTTTTGGGAGACATAGTGCCGTATGTGAAGGAGAGAAATGTAGACTCCCCAAAAAAGGACTTTTAAGAATCTTTTGAAAAGACTTGAACTTCCTAAAAACTTTGTACCCTTACATCTTCTTCAAAGGGTTCAAAGGGCTTTAAAAGGGACAGCTTAAGACCTAATTGGCTAAAATGTAAACTCTTAATCTCCCAAATTTTTGTTAAATCCCAAATGGATTTGCATACAAATCCCATCTAATCAGTTCCAGGATCAGACACTCGTGATACATAAACAAAACCATGAGACTTGGCAAAGTATTTGGAAAAAAGAAAATGGCATTTCCCAATAACCTTGCACATTACTGAGCTTGGTTTGTTTGTAGACAAAATATCATAGAATCATCATAATTAATCTGGAACAGTGGTCTTTTTTTCCTGATACAATCATTTTTCAAGTGATATTTACTGGATGGTTTTGCAAATGTTATTTAGCACTTCTCTCTCCAAGGCATCTGGAAAGACATTAGGCAGTCAAATTATTTTAAAAAAAAAAAAGCAATGAAGGAAGTCTGCTTATTGACTCCTCTATCGTTCTTGCTGTAGGCACTGTTTAGGATAGGAAAATATGAAGCTGAAATACAATTATACATTAGAAGCCTGGTGTCTTAGATATGGAGATGTATACGTATTTAACATTCTTTCTGTTAGGTAACATTGATTATGCATATCAAAGGTTGCAATTAGCTTGTTGGTTTCACAACTTGATTTGAGTAAAAAACCAGCACAAGGTATCATAAAAATAAGATTTATTATCATTTACAGATACAAACAAAAAAACATCACAGTATATACTGGCCTCAAAAAGTAGCAGAAATAAGAGTGTCACAGCGTTCTTGCATCATCCCCTCTCGCTCTCACAATATTTTAAGCCCTTAACACAAGGAGGAAAAAAAACAACTCCTCAAACCTTGATTTCTCATCTGTCGCATTAACTAAAATTAACAAAAAATCTTTCAATCTTTGCTCTGCTATAGGACTCACAATTAGAAGAATTTATGGGTTTTGTGATTTCCCAAAGCCCAAGATGATTCTGCCTACCAGGCAGCCATTGTTCTCAGAGCTAAAACAGTCACAAGAAATTTCAGAGCAATCTTTGGCTTCATGTGAACCTTCCTACTGTGGATTCTTTCAGGTCAGTCCCAAAGATTCTTATCAGATCCTTATAACATTGTAGCCAATCCCTTGAACAGCTTGCATTTACTTTCATAAACTTATGCTACTAGGTACCAGGGGAAAAGATTTGAACAATAAAAGAGCTCCTTTTCTAACAAAGATGACAGCACCCACAGAATTTGGGGTAGAACCAGACAATAGTTCTTAAGACAGTTAATAAGATAAAAAAATATTTGCAATAAGAATCAATTCTTACATTTTACTATTGTTTCTAGTCAGTTAGGATTTTGAAACAATGCATAACTCTGCCATAGATGCTGGACAACATCCAGACTATTAGAAATCGGCAATCACATTAGAAATATTAAATGATCAATGCAGCAAAATCTCTGTAACATGGTGACAAAGCAAAGTCTGTATAAAAACATATATGTAGAAGGACACTCAGGAGGTAAAAAAAATGTCATATAAAAAAAAGGCACCAGTCAACAATGTTGTGACTGTTTCCAAACTAAATTACTATACTGTGACCTCAAATCCTTCTTTGATTCTGAAAAAAAACCTCAAGGCTTACTGATGAGTAGCCTCATAGGAAGGTCCAATACTGTTCTTTTCTTGGTTTCTTGTAGGAGTGGCTGAAGGCAAGGTGAAAGTCTAAAGTAGCTCCTGATTTCAAAAGGATCTATATATAAGCCTTAGCCAATATATATTCAGGGCCCAGGAATGGCCAGTGGACGACAGTCTATCATAAGGCAACACATGTGCAGTAGTGCTTCAGCTTGCAAGGCAGGATGCCACGGTTGATTTGGTGAAACTCCACCAGTTGAATCAAGTCAGCAAAACGTGTCTGGCCATCATCCATAGTATAGTAGAGACGTCCTTCTTCTTCACACTGAAAGACATAAAGAATGAGGAAACATTGGCATAGAAAAAGAGGCAAAAGAGAACAGAATAAGTGGAATGTGATATCAGTCTTCATCTCAAGAATTAAACTCAGACAGAAGTGCTCTACCCCACCCCTGCCCATTTTGGCTCTCCAGTAACAGTGCTTCCACAGGTTGACCTGAGTATAGTACAACATCTTTTTGTGGTGGGAAAAGTAAACACCAGATGAATTGCAGGTCTCCCAAGAATTCCTTATGCATGACTGTTTAGTTCTCCTAATATGGTTAAACAGATGGACTGCTGATATTTTTTTTCCTGCTTTGTCGTTTTCATATTTTTCAACAATGAATTGGAATTTAATCTTATCACATATTTAGAATTTAGAATAGAATAGAGTTGGAAGGGACCTTGGAGGTCTTCTAGTCCAACCCCCTGCTCAAGCAGGAGAACCTATACCATCTGAGACAAGTGACTGTCTAGCCTCTTTTTAAAAATCTCCAGTGATGGAGTGCCCACGATTTCTGGGGGTAAACTATTCCACTTATTATAGTATTCAGGATATGCCTACAATGACAAATGAACAAACACCAACACCTGCTTCCAAAATATCATTAAAAACAATAATATTTATACATTTATATTTGGTTTGGTCAGATTCTGTTTCCCTAAACCTAGATAACCTTGATCTAGCTAGCAGCTGGGAGCTGTATGCTCTATCAATTCCTTACACATCTACAAATGCAGATTAAAGTAGATTATGTTTTGAACTGTTTTTTCTTAGCATGCTGTAAATGTAGCTAAAAGAGGCTTGGAGTGATGCTATTAAATAGAAGTCATCTTTTGTGGAAGGTAAAGTACAATAGAAGAATACATGCAGAACATTTAAACTCAATCCCTAGCATACTGAAGCAATAGTAATTTAGGTAAGAAACCTAAGAAAATTCCTGCATTGCACTTAGACAACAAGCTAGGCTGGATGGTTGAAAGCAGATCAGCCAGTTTCATTGTTCACTTACCGGAAGTATCAGATAGTGCTTTACTTTTTGCGTATGACTAAGGGACAAGACAAAGCCTTTGGGATTCCGCTGGCTTTCACGCACCAGGAATAACCTGCAGTTGATAAGATCCCAAACAAGGATTAGTTTTTACCACCCAGTAACCATGGCCAATCCCCATACACTGTTCCAATTTCCATTGTACTGCACTGCTTGCAAATTATACATCTTTGAATAATTTGTCTTTTCTGATACTAGTCTCTTCCAGATGTAAACAGATTGCAGATCTGAGAGTTGCCAATGTCCTAACCCAGCTAAAGGACTATATTATAGAAAACTGCTAGAATGAATTTTTCTGCAGAGTTGGGAGATGCAACAGGCAAGTACTTGGACAGATGGTGATTCCTTTTCCTTGAAAGTCAAAGCTTAAAAAAACTTCTGGTGGCTATGAGGGTGAAGAACAGCAACTGCTAAGTTTCCTTGCTTGACTCTCCCAAATCAAGAAATACATTGTTCTACTCTCTTACAATATTCTTATGGGAACAATTTCAGGTACACCTATATCCCTCTCCACCCTGGCCAACTTCTACAGCCCTACATCTGAATATAGTAGTATAATTAATATTACAAACTGAAATGTTATTCAAGCAACATACCCATCCACAAGTCCTTGTTGAATTATAAGACGCTGGGTATCTTCTCTAGAAATGTGACCATGGAACCAGGGTTGAGTTTTGTGGATGGCTGGAAGGAAGGAAGGAAGGAAGGAAGGAAGGAAGGAAGGAAGGAAGGAAGGAAGGAAGGAAGGAAGGAAGGAAAAGAAAGAAAGAAAGAAAGAAATATTTTTTTCTTTGAGAAGCAAGGCATTTAAAAAATATTTACAAAAAACTTCAAGTGTAAATGTTAACTTTTACAATGAAGAATATTAAAAATCATGTCTGAAGAAAGTTGGGCTGTTGAGAATAAGTTGGAGCTGATGAACAGAGAAGAATAATTAATCAATAATCTGTTAGGAACTAATATAACTAATATAATCAGTATGAACCAATTAAGTTAAATTGAAGTTCAATTAATGGGAAATTCTTTCATTCCTAAAGGGGAGTAGAGGCTCTACCCGCGCTAAACCTCCAAGAAAGGACATCCCCTGCTATTACTTACACTGATACGGATCGTGCGGGAAGGACAACTTCTAGTAAGAACTCGGTGCCTGGAGTACATTCTAGTATAACCGGCCCAGTGACGAGATCGAAGAGTCGTGCACACGCCCTAATTAAATCTATAAAGGGACTTTCCCATTGACCAGCATTCTAAACCCTGAAGATGTCAGCAGATGCCGACGAAAGCTAGGCACTTTTATTGATTTCTATGTGTTTTAAAGGTTTTTAATATTTTTAAGAACTTTTATCTCTAAATTATTATTATTAAATTATTTCTTGTATTCCCTGGTGCTCACGTCTATTGACTGACTTTGAACATATGTATGTATGTATGTATGTATGTATGTATGTATGTATGTATAAGACACCTTCCCATTTTGTCATAAATTGCTGAAAGGAGGATATTAACATGATAAATGTAAGTATTCTATGATGATTTGGAAAAGTAAGCTGTTTTAGCTATTTTGCTACTTAAGGACAAGTAGTGAAGGACAATTAGTGCTATAAGAAAGAGTATTATTTTCCCCTGCTCAATCACGAGGCCTCATTCACCTCTTAACTTGCTACCAACAACACCAATCAGGGTTCTGCTTATGTTGCCAATATGAAACACATCACATCACGTCCTTGGGACAGGCACTCACCAGCACTGAATGGACAGCTCTGGAATGCAGTGGGCAGGCTGTATCGCTGAGATGTCTTCTTCTGCAGCATAGAAAGAAAAACATCAGAGGTTGTTCAAGTGTTTAAATTTGCCCTCACAGTAATTATCCTGGCTAATTGCCATACACGTTTTGAACAATTCCAGTGAACAACTATATAA